CTGCTTCCTGCCCTTCCTGTCTGTGTATCTGCATGCGGGGAATGTAGCCCTACAGCTCAGATTTGGATGGGGCGGGATGGGAAGGGGATGGGCCACCCCCCAGCCAGACCCACCCATGCCTATGCCCTTGCACCACTGGGAAAGGACTCCCAGCATCCGGCTGCTCAGGGGGAAAGACGCCCGGAAGTTGCTCCCTATTGCCAAATGAGACCCAAGCCCTGTTCCTGATCTGGGAGGACTTATCTCACCGCAGACAAGGGGGAAGCAACTCACAGGGGGTTGTCTTTGCCATAGTTCACGAAGGAGTCTCCCACGTGGATCTGGGCCCCCTGCAGCCTCTTCCAACAGCACTCGTCTTCTCTGTTCTTCACGATCACCACAGAGACCGAATGCCGCTTGCCCAAGTCCACGGTCCACCATGGCTCCGTGTCACGCCCGGTGTGGCTGCAGGAGCCTTGTTCAAAAATCCCTTTGTGACTAGATTTTTCAATCTGCTCACTGAATGTGGACGACTGCGTGGCTGGACGTCTTAGTGCCAAGTTCTGAGCTGGAATCAGAGGGTGAGAAGAGGGGATGTGGGACTGGCCCATTGCCTGTGGGGGGTGGGCAATAGAAGCCCTTTGTCCCACCCGAAATCTGAGCCACTTCCTGGTGGTGACACACAGGAACTTAGGGTCTGTGTGAGAGCCAGGTTCACAGTGGGAGCCAGGCCCTGCGTGGCTGGACGTCTTAGTGCCAAGTTCTGAGCTGGAATCAGAGGGTGAGAAGAGGGGATGTGGGACTGGCCCATTGCCTGTGGGGGGTGGGCAATAGAAGCCCTTTGTCCCACCCGAAATCTGAGCCACTTCCTGGTGGTGACACACAGGAACTTAGGGTCTGTGTGAGAGCCAGGTTCACAGTGGGAGCCAGGCCCATGGGGCTAGGAGTGACAGCAGGTTGGTGCCGGGGTTTCAGCTGAGACAGCATGTTCACATGGAGCCTTCTACACCTACCCCTGCCAGCTGCAGCCCATGCCCCGGTGGGTGGTGGGAAGGGAAGACTTTCCCAGGGTTTCTATTGCCTCACTAGACTGAGGCTGGCACAGAAGGGACTGGGGTGTAACATAAAAGGGCACGTCACTGTGCCGGCTCCTTACCCTCTGGAGGTGCGGTGCAGTCCTGAGAGACCCCAGGCCCTGCGAGGATCCCAATCGCCATCCACAGGCACCAGAGAAGCGCCATCCTCGCACTGCCAACACAGGAGATCAAAATCAGCTACGGTCATGGCGCGGTTCAGGTGGCACCTCCCACCCACCGGCTGGGTCTGATTTTTCCAAGAAGGAAACTGAGACACAGGGAGCAGCCAGTTGTCTAAGATCCTGAAGCAGGTGTGGGGCAAACCTGTGGCTGGAACCAGGGTGCCTGACAATCTATCCCCCTCCTCTGCCCACTGCACCATCTCACTGTGTGCTGATGAGTTTCCACTGGCCTTTTGGAGACATAACAGCTCATCCAGTGAACCTGCTCCAGAGAGCATCTTTCTCTACCCCCCTCCCTCTTCCCTTCTCCTATTTATTTCAAGTTTTCATATCCCCTACTCATAACTCCGGTCATCTGAAGGAGTGGGCTGTGCCCACGAAAGCTCACGATACCATCTACATGTTTTGTTAGTCTATAAAGTGCTACCGGACCATTTGTTCGGTTTTTTTAGATGCTTAGTGTCCAGCATACTAGCCACTAGCCACATGTGGCTATTTGGCCAGTTGAATGTGGCTAGTTGGCCAGCTGAGTGCGGCTATTTCACTTTAGCAGTAGCTTCTAGAGTGGCTACTGCTCCAAAACTGGTTGGACACCATGGCTGTGTCTACACTGATGCGATCTCGCGCAAAAGCGGCCGCTCTTGTGCAAAAACTTGCTGCCTGTCAATACTGGCTGGGTGTTCTTGCACAAGTAAACTGACGTTCTCATGTATAAAATCAGGGCTTCTTGCACCAGAACTCTGACGCTCCTGCTCAGGAATAAGCCCTCTTGTGCAAGAGCTCTTCCAGAAGAGGCCAGTGTAGACAGGCAACATGAATTTCTTGTGCAAGAAAGCCCTATGGTTAAAATGGCCATCAGAGCTTTCTTGTGCAAGAAAGCGTCTACACTGGCACGGATGCTCTTGCGCAAAAGCACATGCCAGTGTAGACGCTCTCTTGTGGAAGAGTTTTTGCAGAAGAACTCTTCCGCAAAAGAGTTCTTGCGCAAGAAGCTGCCAGTGTTGACGTAGCCTCCAAGTCCAGATCCTTTCATTTCCTTCTCTATGGGGCAATCAGGTTTTGTACACCAGTCAAATAAAGGGCTGGTCAGAACTGTTCAGCCAAAGAGCATTGGAAAGTTAAAGCTGAGACTCTTTAGCCAACGCTTTCTAGTTTCTCTGGAAATTCACCTGCTATTAGAAATTACTATAAGCAAAGTAAATTATCATGGGATAAGCAGGAGGGTCTGCTTGTCAAGTGGAAACTGGTTAAAAGTGAAAACAAAAGACAGGACTATGCAGCACTTTAAAGACTAACAAGTTGGTTTATTAGGTGATGCGCTTTCGTGGGCCAGACCCACTTCCTCAGATCAAATAGTGGAAGAAAATTGGCAGGACCATATATACCAAAGGATACAATCAAAAACAAGTGAACACATATAAAATTGACAAATCAGATTTTAGAACAGAGGGGAGTGAGGGGGGAAGGTTAGTGTCTGTGAGGTAATGTCATTAGGGGTGATAATTGGGGAAGCTATCTTTGTAATGGGTGAGATAATTAGCATCTTTGTTAAGGCCCATATGTAAAGTGTCAAATTTAAGCATGAATGACAGTTCTGAGGCTTCTCTTTGAAGTCTGGAGTTAAAATCTCTTTGAAGCAATATGCATGTTTTAAGGTCATTGAGATGTATATTGTTTTAACGTCATTGAGATGATATTTAAATGTAACACTAAAAAAGGCTGCCTATTCATAGTGCCCTGAACATTATCTAGAATTCCAACCCCTACAGAAGTAAAATCCTAGCACCATATGGAGTTTACGCACAAGAGAAAAGTTATGCAACCAATTAGTAAGTCAATTCCACCTCACCCAGGACTCATAGATGGATAGATTTCAATGCTAGAAGAGACTATTGTGATCACCTAGTCTGACCTGCTGTATAGCAGAGCCCATAACACATCCTGAAAATATTTCCTTGATTTAAATATTACCATAGATAGAGAATCCATCATAGAATCATAGAATCCTAGAGCTGGAAGAGACCTCAGGAGGTCATCAAGTCCAACCCCCTGCCCAAAGCAGGACTAATTGTAACTAAATCGAGGTAACTAGTGGTATCCCGCAGGGATTCAGTACTAGAATCGATTCTATTCGACTGATTCATAAATGATCTGGAGAAAGGGGTAAACAGGGAGGTGGCAGATTTTGCAGATGTTACAAAACGGATCAAGATAATGAAGTCCAAAGCAGACTGAAGAATTTCAAAAGGATCTCACAAAATTAGGTGACCGGGCAACAACATGGCAAATGAACGTTAATGCTGATAAATGCAATGTTATGCATATTAGAAAACATACTTCCAACGATATGGATACGACGGGAACAAAATCAGCACGTACCACTCAAGAGAGAGATTTTGAAGTCGTCTCTTACAACAGCCTCTCAATGTACAACAACAGTGAAAAAAGCCAGCAGAACGTTAGGAACCATTAAAAAGGGATAGTAAATAAGACAGAGAATATCTTATTGCCACTATAGAACGGATGTGGTTGCCTCATCTCAAAAAAGATATCTTGGAATTGGGAAAAGGTCGGAAAAGGGCAACAAAAAATATTTGAGGCTTGGAATGGCTGCCATGTGAGGAGAGTTTAATACAAATGGGACTTTTCAGCTTTGAAAAGAGATTAAGGAGGGATAAGACAGAAGTCGATAAAACAGATCGGCTACGTCTAGACTGGCATGATTTTCCGGAAATGCTTTTAACGGAAAAGTTTTCCGTTAAAAGCATTTTCGGAAAAGAGCGTCTAGATTGGCACGTAGAATAGTGATAGAGATGTAGCCGTGTTAGTCTGGTGTAGCTGAAACAAAATACAGGACTATGTAGTCTTTAAACCATCTTGTTAGTCTTTAAAGTGCTACATAGTCCTGTAGATTGGCACGGACGCTTTTCCGCAAAAGCACTTTTTGCAGAAAAGTGTCTGTGCCAATCTAGACGCGCTTTTCCGCAAAAAAGCCCCAATCGCCATTTTCGCCATCAGGGCTTTTTTGCGGAAAACAAAGCTGAGCTGTCTACACTGGCCCTTTTGCGCAAAAGTTTTGCACAAAAGGACTTTTGCCCGAACGGGAGCAGCATAGTATTTCTGCAAAAACACTGACAATCTTACATGAGATCGTCAGTGCTTTTGCAGAAATTCAAGCGGCCAGTGTAGACAGCTGGCAAGTTTTTCCAGAAAAGCGGCTGATTTTCCGGAAAAACTGGCCAGTCTAGATACAGCCATCTGGTTTGGAAAAGGTAAATAAGGAAAAGTTATTGACTTGTTCCCATAACACAAAAACGAGGGGGGTCGCCCGATGAAATGAACAGGTAGCATTTGTCAGAAGCTTGGTCCCTGTTCTGCTCACTCCCTTTGGGGCACTTGGCATTATTGGTCACATAGGTAAAGTGCATGTCAGAGGTTTTGTAATGATGCAAAAACCAAACGTTTAAATCCCAGCAAATTCACAGCCAGGATTCAATATAATAAAGATCCAAACATGTATGAAAGTGCATAGCAAAGGCACCCAAAGAGCCTTAAATCTATCCTGTACGTGTCCCAGAAGGAAAAAAACCATTAATGTGTCTTTAACAATCAGTGTAATGTTATCTGAGTTCCCACCCACAGAAATGTCTTAGTCACATTGTGCACAGTACGGCAGAATTAAGGTTTCTGCTGACGAAGAATGTTTGTGCAATGAAGCACAAGCGGAAACAGCTGGAATTGACTATAGAACACACTCTTCAAATGTAGCCCAGGTACAAAACGGTGAGTTTAACTGAATGGAAAGTTGAAGAGTTTGTGGTGGGGCAGAGTTAAGGTTGTTTATGAGGCCTAATGTGACCTTAACATGTTTGGATTTCTTTAAGTTTAACCTTAACTGTTAATTTCCTGTGTTTATGATACTTGTTTTTCAGATAAGGGCATCATTTGTCATGTAGTTTACTCTGCGTTACTCATATGCACTCTCAGCCAGAACTCTGAATTCTCCTCATTTTTTTTTTAATAAAAAGTGCCAGCCCCCCGCGGCGTGACAAAGAGGGAATTGTCTGCAATATGTCTGTGAATGAGGGCGCGGCACTTACTCAGCTATGGGCTGCTATCCAGTGGGCACAGAAGGGATAAAAAGCAGCTGTTGGGGCAAAGCAGGAGACATGAGGGGCTGGCCCCCAACTGTCTGGGATGGAGTGAGGGTCCTTAAGGCACTGACTGAACCCCACCGAGATCACAACCCTTCCTAGACAACATGGGGAGCCGCCCAGCAAAGCCCGTACCTTGGGCATCTACCTCACATCCAGAGGAATTCCCGGGAGCATATGCCCGATCACCCTTCCAGCCCCACTTCCACCCTCGTCTGAGGACTCCGCCAGAGCCTGGCTCTTTTGCCAATGGCACTGGGGTGAATCGCACCCTCGCTGTATCGAGGGAGTGTCTCTGGAAGGGCTTTAAGTCAGAGGGCTTTTGCCTCGCCTGGCAGGAGGCAAAGGCAGGTATAAAAGTCCACTGATCAGCTGGGGCAGAAGGGAAGAGGGACTCACCAGCTCACCTGGGCACCTGCCGTCACCGGCTTTGGGAGACAGGTAGAAACTCCAGTTCTCTTCCAGGAGCTTCAACCGCTACAGCCTTGTTATCCCGTCTTGGGCCGGTCTGTGGGTGTCCAGCCGCTTTTATCCAGTTCCCAGTGGGTGGCACGGTGACTGGTTACTGCTTTGCAAGCCGACGGACACGGACCAATGAGGATGTGACTAACGAAGTCAAGTTTGCCAACAGTGACTCGATGTCCCACTTTTAAAGGGACTGTCCTGCCTTTCAGCCTTCCCGGCTGTGTCCCTGCGCTAAAAAACGGGCCAGTTGTCAGATGTCTTTGTCTCTCCCCTCCAGTCAGTACTGGTGGGTCCTGCTGCTGGCCGGAGCTTTGCTCCCAGCTGCTCCCCCAAGTATTGCACATGGTCGATCCCCCACAGATATTAGTCCCAGACAGAACAAACGCAACCAACTTACTTAAGTACCAACTTTACACAGATCTTACGAGAAAGAACCATCAGAAATAACCGTAACAAGTCCAACTTACTCTCTGCAACGTCACTTGGCTACCTTAGGGTCCACATCCATTATCTGCACACTTCTACAGGGACACAAAAGAGAGAATGAAATCAATCGAAACCGGTCAGTCCCCACAGTGTCAGAGTGAGAAGAAGCACATGGGAGGTTTTTTCGGGTAAGAAAGACAATACCCCCTGTTTGAGAATACAACATAAAATGCAGCATGTGAATTTATTCACACACACACACACACACACACACACACACACATCCTGCAGCCGTTGTTATAGTTACCAGTCTGTGGCTCAGACCAACCTAATGGCTAGTTAGATTGGACCCAAGCAGAGATGCCAGGTTTGGTCAGTCATGAACCGATGCTTTGAGGCTTTGCAGAAGGGAACCCAGTGAGACACCCCATCTTCGATACAAGTTTTTTCCTATGCAGGTCTGTACGTTTTGCTGTGCTCCATTGTCATTAATTACTTAGCACCAAATAGTTATTTTTAGATTGCTTCTATTGTCACAGAATCACAGATTATTAAAACTGGAAGGGACCTCGAGAGATCATCAAGTCCAGTCCCCTGCCCTCACGGCAGGACCCAGCACCATGTTTTAGAGATCATTCCTGGCAGAAGTCTATCCAACCTGCTCTTAAATATCGCCTTTGATGGAGATTCCATGACCTCCCTAAGCAATTTATTCCAGTGTTTCACCACCCTGCCAGGCAGGTAGTTTTCCCTAATGTCCAACCTAAACCTCCCTTGCTGCAATTTAAGCCCATTGCTTCTTGTGCTATTATCAGACATTAAGGAGAACAATTTTTCTCCCTCCTCCTTGTAAAACCCTTTTAGATACTTGAAAACTGCTCTCGTGTCCCCTCTCAGTCTTCTCTTTTCCAAACTAAACAAGCCCAATTCTTTTAGTCTTCCCTCATAGCTCATGTTCTCTAGACCTTTCATCATTCTCATTGCTCTTCCTTGGACCGTCTCCAATTTCTCCACATCTTTCCTGAAATGTGGTGCCCAGAACTGGCCACAATACTCCAATTAAGGCCCAAGTAGAGTAGAGTAGAGTGGAAGAATGACTTCTCATCCCAGAATCATGGCTGCATTAGCATTTTGATGACTTTCTCTGGGTGTTGGCACATTCTGATCTCGATAGGACTTTGTTATTTTTAACTCCGGGGGTGCTTCAGGGTCATCAATCTGTCCCTTGTTACTCATTAGGTACAGTGGGTGCATTTGATAGTCTCTTGTTGACCCTGAGTTTCCAGCCCCACGCTTGGCCATCTGGACGCTGTAATGGCCTCCACTCTTATCTTTCCCCGTGCGTGCATTCCTCGCTCGCACAAACGAGGATTACATCGTTTCTTTCATACACACCGCACAGAACATTCTCGGTAATTGTTACAGAATTTTCCACATTAAAAAGCTAATAGAAGCCTTCATTAAATCTTACATTCTAAGGGCAAAAGGGTGAGCACAGTGAGTCACGAGAACTCTTCTGGTCTGTTCCCGCCTTTACATCAGTGACAGACACAGACAGCCTGAGGCATCTCTACCACGGCCATGTTCTGCTACTTAGAAAGGGTGGCCGGCAGGACTCACCAAGGCATATTACATCATACCAAGCTAAAACGAATGATTAAAACTCCACATTTCAGCTACACTCCAATCCCACAGTTCTGTGGCTGCGACAGGAACTCCGAATTCCCAAAGCCTGAGGCTCTGATCACTTGAGCCTCAGAGATTTAAATCCCCCACCAGCTAGAGGACAAATACGAAACTGAGAACAGCAAAACACGTCTGGCTCATGACATTCAATGGGAGAAAGGTGGCGGCAATGTGAACAAAACAGTTTGGCTCCGATCACCCAACATTCAAAGGACAGGATGAACATGGGCAGCAAGCAGGGGTGTCTGGGGGAGGTTCCTGGACTCTGGGGCTGGGGAGGCTGCAGGCAGGAGCCAGTTTTGGGCAGGGGCTGGCAGCTGTGGCGGGGGGTACCAGAGTTCTGGGGCACACGGAAGGGCAGGGCCTGGGGGGGGGAAGAGCTGGGGGCTAGTTTCTCCCAGCCAGAGGTTCCCGAGCCGCCCATTAAAATAAAAAGTGATTGTTCCCTCGCTTTCTAATGACCATGGACCGGACAGCCCTGCGGGAGGGTTAACGCTGCCACGGATCTGCTGGGGCCTGCTTCCCAGGCCGCCCAGTGCACACGGCCATACCCAGCTCCAGAAACGACTTGTGCCTCTGCCTAGCAACAATGATTCACACTCGACTCAGTCCTATCCACCTCCCAACAGACGTCTGCAAGAGAGCTTGCCTACGCGGCACTTGTGTTCCACACCCCTTTGACAAACAACTCCATCGAACTCCAGAAACCTGCCAAAACTCAATGCACCCTCCCCAGCTGCCACTACGGAGCAGCCCCCCACACAAGCAAGGAAATCGTTTTCAGGGGGAAAGGTCTAGTCATGCATTCCCTCCAGGCCAGACTGGGAGGGACTTCTGGGGTTGGATGCTTGTTTGTTTTCATAGAATCCTAGAACTGGAAGGGACCTCGAGAGGTCATCAAGTCCGGTCTCCTGCCCTCATGGCAGAACCCAGCACCGCTAGATCATCCCCGACAGGTGTCATGTCGTTATCAGGTCCCCTCTCACGGTACGTCTACCCTGCGGGATTTTTCCGGGATAGCAGAGGTATCCAAGAAAAACTCCACCCCGTCCAGGCAACACGTTTGCGCTTCCGCTTTTCTTTGCTTCTAATTCCTCCTGCTGTTATTCTGCAGCTGCTACGTCAGAGGCTGACGTTTTCCCTGCTGCTGCCAAGGCAACCCATCTACAGCTTTTCCCAGTAGGGATGTAAATGGGTAACCGGTTAAGCCTAGGGACCAGACGGGTGAGTTGGCGAGAGCAGCCCTGGCTTGCAGATGGAACCAGGAGGTGGGGGGGAACTGGCTGTCAGGGGAAGTCAGGTGGCAGCGGAAACCGGGGGACAAGAGGAATGGGACAGCGGGGAACCAGGGAACTGCGGGAATCCAGGGACAGAGAATCAGGAGACGAGACGCATTGGGCAGCGGGGGAATTAGGGGAAGGGGGGAATTAGGGGAACAGGGAGAACTGGGGACAGGGAGAATCAGGGGACAAGGGGAACCAGGTGGCAGGGGAAACCAGGGAGCAGGGGGAATCGCGGGGCAGGGAAGCAGGCTGTAGGGAGTGCCATGGAGCAGGGGGAACAGGGGAATCAGGAGAGCTGGAGGACAGGGGATCTGAGGAGCAGGGGGAACCAGAGTCCAGTGAGAAATGGATGGCAGGGAAACCAGGGGACAGGGAAACTGAGGAACAGGGGAAACACTGGACAAGAGAAACTGGACAGCGGGTGGTGTTGGGTCAGGAGAACTGGGGAGCAGGGAGAAGGGGGGGCAGTGGAACATGGGGATAGGAGAATCGGGGGTCAGGGGACCTGGGGAGCAGGGAGAAGTGGGGGCAGGGCCCCATCTGGGAGCTGGGTTCTCAGCAGGTGGGTTGGCTGGACTGATGGGGGTGGGAGCAGCCAGGCCAGGCTGCAGGACGGCCCCACACTTGACTCAGTCCCAGCCTTGGCCGACCGGGCGACCTCTCCCTTTGCCAGGCGGCTCCTGGATCTCAGGCTGCACCAGGCCCACTGCGGCGCGTGGCATTGGGGAGACGGGAGAGCAGCCCATAGCCACTGGATGCAGTGGGGAGCACGTGGGGGGGCAACTGAAGAATTTGATGTCAAGCAACTTCCGCATACTGCATCCCCAGCAGCACCCTGACCCCTGTGTGCCCCACCCCTGGCACCCTGACCCCGTGTGCCCCCCGTGGCACCCTGACCCATGTGCCCCCCCATAGAACCCTGACCTGTGTGCCCCCCAGCAGTATCTGACCCCTGTACCCGCAGCTGCACCCTAATCCCCAGTGGATAGAGCAGGCAGAGCTCCTGGGTTCTACCCCAGTCTAAGTGGGAGAGGGGTCTAGAGGTTAGAGCGAGCATGTCAAAAAGGATGTGGACGCACTGGAGAGGGTCCAGTGGAGGGCAACCAAAATGATTCGGGGGCTGGAGCACACGACCTATGAGGAGAGGCTGAGGGAGTTGGGTCTGTTTAGTCTGCAGAAGAGAAGAGTGAGGGGGGATTTGATAGCAGCCTTCAACTTCCTGAAGGGGGTTCCAACTTCAGAAAGAATGCATGTTACCTTTAGAGGCTCCAAACCAAGGCCTGTCTAAAGCAGTTTTCTCACCTAACTCTACTTCTCAACGTCACCGACCCACATGGGTGCAAAGAGTGCTGACCACCTTATTCTCTCTGTGATGAATAACCAAATTGTCTTTTGCTTTTCTTTCTATTTCCCAAAGTTTGTTTTTATCACCAGAGTCAGGGTGAACCTCTGAGGCTAAATCTCCAGTGTGTTCTCATGTTAGTTTGTTTCACCTGTTCACCTCTGATGTGATTGAATTGCTTTGCAACGTAAGCATCACTGTACTCAATTTATGTTAGAGAGAGGGAGATAACTGTCCTTCCTCTTGTCTGGAAGAAAACCTGTTTCTCCCTTTGTTTGGTTACAGACTCTAAAGCATAGAGTCAGTAACCACATTTCCTTATATAATGTTAATACATACATTTCCTAGTATTAATGACTGGTTGTTACCATTTTCGCAGAAGAGGCTCTTGCGCAAGAAGGAGCTGTCTACACTGATTATTTTCAGGAATAACAGCATTGCGCAAGAGGGTTTTTCTTGTGCAAGAAGGGACAGCTCCTTCTTGTGCAAGAGCCTCTTCCGCGAAAATGGTGGCTCATTAGATATGCAAAAGAAGCTCGGCGATATTCCCCGCTTAGCCTCATTTGCATATTTCTGGCACAGGAACCCGCCAGTGTAAACAACGCCTTGGGTTCTACCCCTGTCTCTAAGCAGGAGAGGGGTCTAGTGGTTAGAGCGAGCAGGACTCCTGGGTTCTACCCCTGTCTCTAAGTGGGAGAGGGGTCTAGTGGTTAGAGCGAGCAGGACTCCTGGGTTCTACCCCTGTCTCTAAGCGGGAGAGGGGTCTAGTGGTTAGAGCGAGCAG